TTGGCAATACGTGTCTTTTACTAATATAATAAGATATTTTTAAAATTTTGTTATTATAATATAAAAACTCTCATTAATTAGTGACATTTGTCAGGTAATATTATTGATCAATAAAAAAAATTATGTACGAAATTAAGTGAACAATTCTTTTCTTAATAATATGTAAGCTCTTATTGATTAATAATACAGTCATATGATATTATTGTTATAATTAATATTTACTCATCAAGTAATATTTCTGTTACAAATAATATTTCTTTGCTAATAAAATAAATAAATAAATAAAATAAAGCATCTTGTTAACAAATATTATTAAAATATTAAAAAATACAAATAATAAAGAGCGCAATATACTTTTGATTAATTTTAAAATATCTTTCATTGAACAATTTATAAAACATTCGTTAACATTTGCTAAATTTAAATTTGTCAAAATTTTGGAAGAGTGATAATCACGTAACCTTATTCTCTTTGGGAGAAATTATAAATCAGCTCTACTTTTTCAAAATAATTACAGAATTATAAAAAAAAAAAAGTATAACTTTAATTATTAAAATTTACAATTAATCTGATTTTTTTCTTCTTCTAAAAACCCACTTATTTGTTATCTCCCCTTCTTTCTGCTACCTATGATTGTATCGGAATTTGTGCTTGCGAGGCTACGTGGCATTGGTTGGTTAACGTTGCAGCTCAATTATCTCCATCTTTTTCACTTTTTTAAAGGGTGAGAAGTTGATTAAAATTTGATCTTTACTTTAATTTCCTTTACAAGCTTTTAAAAGTGCCATCATTTGACTGTATTGACTCTATTTAGGCATCGTTTGGCTTTTTAATTTTTTTTTAATTATTTTAGTGTGAGGTTAAAACATTTTATTTGAAAAGAATTTTTTGACATTTTAAACTTTTTGTCAGAAAAATAATATAATGATTATAGGTTGAATGTGATATTTTATTTTATTGGACTAAAAAATTATTTTTATTTTTTTATGATTATTTTAACTAAAAAAATCCCAACCTCAACTTCCCAAAATAGAGGCTTAATTACAAGTAAAGATTCAAATTTTTTCATTCAATTAATGGATTTTTGAGTCTCAATATGTGAAATAAAACAAATTTTAAATAAATTAAAACCGAATTATTCATTAATAACTTGATAGTTTGATTAATTTGTAGTCTTATTTATTTCTGAATGGAGAGAGAGAGAGAGAGGAAGGAGTGGAGGGTTCATAGGTTATGTTTAAACTTTCTACTGTGAAGTAGGCACCCAACCCAAGCCAATCACATTTTCAACCTCAACATGGTTTTCATTTCTCTTTCTTTTTCTTTTACTCTTTTTTCCTTACTTTACTTTCTAAAATTAAATGTAACGACACTAATTATGCTTTTTTCTTTTTCTTTTTTTGTTTTTTTTTGACAAGAGGGTTCTTCTTTAGTTGTTCTTATTTTAGAATAAGTTTACGATATCAACTAAAACACTACATAGACCATCACCATTCCTAAGGAAATGGTTAAGGTCACTATCTTGGTAGGAGTAGTGATTATATATAGTGAAATATGTGAAATATTTGGTGTCTCTAGTATTATTATAGTTTCTTTTAATGTACATGTGACCAATTAGTTTATTATAATTATGAAATGCCCGCTAAATTTCTTTTTCAAGTTTCTTTGTTTTCCTGTTACAAAACTTTTACACATTTGATTATGATTGAGATTCTTACACATTAATATTCGCATATAATTCTATAGTTATAAGTATTTGGGGGTGAGAGTAGAAAATTTTTAGCCATTGAAATAATACTTGATCCTTGGCTTAACATATTAGATGTATATATAGAAAAAGAACCTTGCTTCAGAACCCCAGTGGGGGTCCGACTCCCAGTGACGTGGCAGCACGCTATTCGCTGAAAACAAAAGGAAAAAAAAAATAATTTTTTTTTTTTGCCAATCCCGACTTGACACGCATGACCCCCAGCACCTCTACTGGGTCGAAAGCTTTATTCATAGAAAAATGCTAAGGAATCTAGAAAATTTGCATCAAAATTGAACAAGAATTAAAATATGTATAAATTTAAATTTAATATAACGTGAGCCATACAATTTAGTTTTTAGTCTCCTTTAGATAACTTTTTTGAACTACTTAACATGGTTGTATATAGGTGGAGCATTTGAATAATTTTTTTATTTCAATGTGCTTTAACTTTCTTCTTTTTTATAAAGAAAATATTAAATGTGATGGGGAAGCAACACTTTAGCTTTCTTCTTTTTTTTTAAAAAGGAAAAATATTTAATGTGAAGTGGAAGCAGCACTGTCAACTTGGACATTTTCATTTGTGAATGAAGAAGTCCCATCATAGTCTGGGCCACAGACTGGGCCATCAAATCCAAAGGATGAACGTGTTAATTTCAGACTGGTCTCTAAGGACCTGGTCCAGGACATCCTGAGCCGGACAGCCTGGCTGGACCCAAACTACCAGGCCTCAGCCCAAAACATAGATGTTCCGCCAGGCTGGACTGTGGACTACCAGGCCTCAGCCCAAAACATAGATGTTCCGCCAGGCTGGACTGTGGACAGGACAAGTGCTAATTGAGGGAATTCTATTTGAAGCCATCAAATCCAAAGGATGAACGTGTTAATTTCAGACTGGTCTCTAAGGACCTGGTCCAGGACATCCTGAGCCGGACAGCCTGGCTGGACCCAAACTACCAGGCCTCAGCCCAAAACATAGATGTTCCGCCAGGCTGGACTGTGGACGGGACAAGTGCTAATTGAGGGAATTCTATTGAACCCAAAATATGTCTTAGTAGGTCCAATTTTAATTCATAAATTTTAATTTCTAATATATCTTAATATAAATTTGTTAATAAGGACAACACATATTAAATCCAAAAATATATATATTTTTTCCTCATCATATACTCTAATTAGTTATTCCTATTCAAATCTTTATATCTTCTTCTCCCAAGATATCAAAGTTATTTCTTCTTCTTCTTCCCTTCAAAATTCCAATTCATCCTACCAAAACTCACTATCATCATCAACATCATTGTTTTTTATTATTTTAAAACTCTAAACCCTAAAATAAAGTTTGAACAAAATCAAATAATATATGAGAGTAATAGTTTTTTCAAGCAATCCATCAAAAAGAAGGAAAATATTCATATAAAGAGGTTTCACAATTTTTGTAGAGCACCATCAATTATTTTTTATATAGTTTTTTTGATAAAAATTAAAAGGCTCGGTAATTAAATTAACAATAACATATTATTGGACTTGTTCTTATTTTGTCATTTAAATAATACATTATTTGAGAACTACTATTTCTTGTTAGTGCTTGATGTTTATGTGCTTATAAGTTTGGTTTTAACTTTTCCACGAGCATTCTTATGGGAAAAATGTTTGGTGGTCCAAATTTGGGTGGCTCAAATGGCTCGAATGTGTCAAAACGATGTTGTTTTACATTCAAAACGACGTCATTTTGGATGTTTCGAGCCATGAATTTTTGGGCCACCTATCATTGTTGTTCTTATGAATAATTTATAATGTAAAAGTTTTTTTCTTGTATTGAAAAGTTTTATAATACTTATATAAAAGTTTATTTTTTCCTGTATTTATAATGTTTATGTGCTTACAAGTTTGGGGGTTTTTTTTTTTTCTCTGTATTTGATAATTATTTTCTGTATTGAAAAGATTTGAAATAATTTAATTTTTTTTAATTTGTGTATTATTTATTATTTATTATTTAGGTTTACTTTGAAGGTAATTTGGAAAAAATAATAGAACATAATGAGAGTAATACAAAATTTTAAATAATTAAATAAAATGTACTTAAAAATTAAGAGTATTTAATGATTTTTAGGTGTAAATAGAATTCCGCTAAATGACCAAGGAGAGTGCCAGTTTCATCTTGTCTGGTCGACCTTCATAAGAGCCCACCAATAATTCAAATGACTATTGAGCCCATGATGGTTACTAACAATCCTTCTAGACCCAAAAAATATGGTGCTAGTTTTCTTTCAGAAATGATTATTCCATTGCAATGAACTTTCTGTTTTTTTTTTTTTTTTTTTTTTTTTTTTTTGGCTGAAATGATCATTCTATTCCACCTTTATTCCAGTTGACTACTTTGGAAAGTTGGTAAAAAATTAATTTTTGACTTTTTATCAAGTTTTTTAACTTTTTGAAAAGTGATTTGGGAAGTTGGTAAAAAACTGACTTTTTACTTTTTAGTTTAATATTTATTTTTAGTGTCAAATCAAATTAAAATGACCAAAATTTATTTTTTTAGTTTTTTTTTATAGGTCCTAATTTGTAATTTTATACCAGCTTTTTTAGCACTTGCCAAATCAATTTTCTGGCATTTTTGACACTTGCGTTTTTGGACAAAATGTCCAAAAACGTGACTTTTTGCTATGTTCCCAAAATGGCACTGAGAGTAACTGAAACAGGGTCCTTCAAAACGGCACAATTTTTTTCCTAGGGCTTGGTAATAGCTTGTTTGGTCAAGCTTGGGCTGGGTTGCAAGCCTTCTTCAAGCCGAATGATGAGGCTTAATTATTTAGTCCAAAAGGGTAATTATATAATAAATTTTCTAATCTTGTGACATTACTTTCTAATAAAATGAGATGCCATTAATATGGGTGCCCAAAAATGCGTTTAGATCCTTTGACAAACAAGTGAGAAACGAAGATTTTTATTAGATGATCAATAATTATAAAAGAGTTACATTAATAAATTAATATTTTAAATTTTAAAACAACTAAGAGAAGTACTAAAACTCATAATGTTGTGATTATTTTGTTAGGGTTCTAGAAGAAATAGTGTATATGGGTGAATGATGTTCTGCAAGGCTGAATTTTCATATTATGGTAATGAAAATTACATGGTTGAATTGATGAAAAATAAATATTGTCTATTTAATTTTATTTTTAATTTTTTATTGACTATAACATTAATGTCTCAGTTTTCAAACATATAATGGAGGATGAAAAAAAAAAAAAAGGTGAGAAACATTAAAGTTGCTTTGTCATTTAAGTTACACACAGGAAAAGATAATTATTACAAATTAGAAGATAACTTACATTAGCACCAAAATTTTGAAAAATGCAAGAAAAAGTTAAGAAAAAGAAAAGACACAATAATTTGGAGTATTATATAAAAGTAAGAAAGAGAGCTAAATCCAAATGAATGTAGCCATATGTCTATAGGGCTCTGTCCATAATGACATCAATACCCATCTCAGTAGGGTCGGTGGCTTGGACTTCATAGTGGATGCCATCGAGGACCCTCCTCAACCCATCTTTTGATGTTGCGTATAGAATTTTTGCTCTAATTCTTGATGCTGTTGGAGACCTTTCAAAATTTGTAAAAAATCGATTAGTCAAATGTAATTAATAATTTAAAAAATTTTATATTTGTATAGTGAGGTTAATTATGTCTATATGATAATTTGTTATTTGAGGATGATACTGTTAGATATGCAGATAACTTTCAATAGAGAGATAAGTCCTAAGACTGGGATTAAGCCCGTATTGTTAGTTTCAACTTTACAGATTTTACCTATATTTTTTTGATTGGCGAAAGTTAATAATTAGTTGAAATTCACACTCATATACCTTACAAGAAAATTTTACCCTCCCTTTCCACTCCTAAGAGTGGAATCCAAGACCTCCCTCTTAGGAGAGACTTGGTTGTCAAAGGGTTAGCCAACTAGGCTAGAGCCCCTTGATTCGGCTTTACCTTATATAATGTAACTTTGTCCATGTTTTAGGGTAAAAGAGAAAAAAGAAGAGGCTGTTGCAATTTTTAGAGAGTAAAACAACGAGAAAGAGTGTATTCTATAATACTATAGTGTGGCTTCCGAGGACATAGGCACGTTGCCGAGCCTCATATAACAATGTGTTTAACTTTTTTTTTTTTTTTTGTGATTCATAATTTTTAAGATTTATAGAGTTTAAGAATTGAACGTATAATAAAATCCCAATAAACATAGACATATATATATATATTAGTGATTACATAATATCCTCGTTGCACTCTTTATCAACATACCAATCTTAACTGAATCATTGATCACCCTTTTATTGAATTATAGTACATATTCTCCTACTCACTTGTAGAATTATAAAAATAAATAAGATAAAATAATAAAAGGGAAAACGATATAAGAAGAGAAGACATCAAGTTTGGTTGGGTTGACTATAGGAATAGGGATAAGATTATTTGAATAGGTACTATCTTCTAAACATGATCCTTATCTGTTGAACTTCAGAGATAAGATTATCAAACATATCTTCCTTTTTCTGCTTATCGACTTTATACACAATTATTAGTATAATAATTTCTAATAAAAGATGAAATTCCAATAGTATATGCTAGTACATTAGGCTATGACACTTTTTTTTTTTTTTTTCACAAAATATTATGTATGTAGAATTTGTGTTTTGAAAATTATCTAAAGTGAGATGTATGATGTAAATTTAAATTTTATATTATGTAAACCGCAATACTATTCTAAGTAAAAAATGGAATTTTTTTTATGTATCGACTTTATACACAATTATTAGTATAATAATTTCTAATAAAAGATGAAATTCCAATAGTATATGCTAGTACATTAGGCTATGATATATATATATATATATATTTTTTTTTTCCTCCACAAAATATTATGTATGTAGAATTTGTGTTTTGAAAATTATCTAAAGTGAAATGTATGATGTAAATTTAAATTTTATATTATGTAAACCGCACTACTATTCTGGGTAAAAAATGGAGTTTTTCTATGTAATTTATTAAGAGTAATATTAGAAAGACAAAATATTCAATTAACAAGGATGGAAAATAAAATGATGTATAGGTGGGAGTAACGGACCATGCAATGAAGAAAATCTTGCTTTTCCGGCAATTGTCAACTGTGACGAAATCTAAATCAAACACGGCGTATCGACAATCATCCTTCGGCAGAGAAGCAGTAAGATCATCATAGTTTTCGCCGGCCCCGCCGACCTTATCGACGGTCACCAATCGAGATCCTTCATCGATCTTGAACACGATGTACCTGTGCACCTTCTTCCATTTCATCTCCATGAACGAGTTCTTGCACTCATCCGTCACCCACATCCCCGTCGTCGCCTATATATATGCAATTCAATATCAATCGATATATTCATAAATATTTAAATCACGATACATATTGATCAATCGATATTTTATATAATAATAATAATTAAAAAAAAAAATTGATTAGAACAAATGGGTGGATTTGATTGAAGTGGTGGATGATGTGAAAAAAGATATGAGTAGATGGGAAGTTTGTTGTTGCATACCATTTTGAAAGCCATAGCCATTTTTGTTGCAGTTGTTGTGATTGAGTGTTGTCTGAGCAATGAATTTGGAATTTGAGATTTGAGAGACTTGAGATGAGAGGGTACAAGATGCGTGTGGGTGTTTGTTATATATATATGCCATCATTTGAAAACGCCAATAATATTGATGTTAATTACAGGTCAGTCCATGCTTGTCTATGGGTGTACTTTACTTATTACACCCTCTGATTTCATTTAGCACGAGGTTTCTCCCCAATCCACTTGAAGGGTTTTCTGTAAATTTGACTTATTAAATGGTTTATGTACTTATTTCATTTAGAGCAAGGCTCCTCTCCAATTCATTGGACTCAAGGGCTCGTAAATTTGACTTAATATGAGATGGTGTACCTATTATTTGAATCATCGTGTAGTATTTTTTAAATAGATTATTTATGTAAAAAATTAAGTTGATTAAATTATATTATTTTTTAAAAATATCAATTGTCCATTTATTTAGTAAAATCATTTAGAGCAAGGCTCCTCTCCAATTCATTGGACTCAAGGGCTCGTAAATTTGACTTAATATGAGATGGTGTACCTATTATTTGAATCATCGTGTAGTATTTTTTAAATAGATTATTTATGTAAAAAATTAAGTTGATTAAATTATATTATTTTTTTAAAATATCAATTGTCTATTTATTTAGGAAAATGTCTCGTAACTCAAATTTTGTGACTCAAAAGTGGCTCAAATGGTCAAAACGACGTCGTTTTGGCCATTTTTATGCTGTTCTGTACTCAAAACGACGTCGTTTTGGCCATTTGAGTCACTTTTGAGCCACAAAATTTGAGCTACGTAGCATTGTCGTTTTTAATATAAATATGACACAATAATTTGGCAAACCATATCTTATTAAAATAATAATATACCTGACAAGTAATACAAAATAAACAATTTAAATCATAAAATAAATTTGTGACGAGCCCTTTTAACTAGACCTTCAAGTCCCATGGAAGCCTGGCTTTGTACTCTAGGGTGTGCGTAAGCTTGTGGTGGGGTGGACATGTTTGGTGTAAATGACCAGATTGCCCTCAATCTGTGACTGAAACATGAATGTTTGTTCCTAATATATGAATGTTGTGTATGTATATATGCAAATTCATGTATATGTAATGTGTACATTAAGCTCAATAATGTGTCTGGTGTAGGCCTATCAATAAATTGGTTGATCTTCAGTCATGTGAGAAAAAGGTGTGAGGTTTATTTAGGGCCTACCAAGATTGGTAATGCTTTGGCTGATCATCTATCATCAAATAGAAGATAGCAATGTGGCAATGGCAAGTAGGAATTAAAAGTTCAGTTTTTGCAATTTTGCTACCTAATTCTTAAATATTTCCCCTTATCTGGTTGTATGATTTGTTGAGGAAGAAAGCAAGGAAAATCAAAATGAGATAAGTTAATTTCTTTACTTTTGTTTATGAGTGTGGCAAATTTTTTCCCATATTAGACATAAACAAGAAGGCGTGGTGTAAGTTGCTTTCGCTTTCAAAATCATAATGTGTTAGAGTTGTTTGGCTAGTGATTATCAGTTGAAAGACGTTCTAACGATCAAATCAATTTTTGTATGGAAATAATAAATCGAGAGTATTATTTTGTGAAATTGATTACACATACTTTTCTTTGTTCATCTACCTCCTCTTATGTATAGTCATGTGCCATCATTTGGGTGTAGTTTTCAATGAAATATCTGCTTAGAAACTAGTTAGCCGTTATTTTGGTGCTTGTAGAGCTTTACGTAGTATTGCCCATTGCCTAGTGTAGTGTCTATTATATCTTGTCGGATGGGGACTGGCTCTTTTGTTGATTTTTATTTATTGGCATGCGCTCCCAATGCTTTCGTGAGCATTTGTTATTCCTTTCCCGATCTATTTGGATTGCTTAATGGATTTTTTTGTTTTCTCCCTAGCTTACAATCATTTAGTTGGCTTTCTTGCCTCACTAATTGACCCTCCATTCTGGTTTGATCCGTAGTACTTCAAAGATTCGTTTTACTCGTATTTTTTCCCTTATATAGTGAATAATGTTATACAAATTTATAAAATTTATTAGTTTGTATAGCAATTTTTTTTTTTCCTTTTATAATAAGAAAGAAAGAAAGAAAGAAACAAGAAAGGAGAAATTGTATAACACATCAACAAAACTTAAATCAAACATGAACAGGGGTGATGAACATCAGATAAATGTCCACTTCCATTGTAGAACAAAGTTTACAGACTAAAAATACTATGTCTACATACGGTGGTCCCATATGGGATCCCACACCCCCCACACACCCATATCTCATTGATTCATCTAAACTCTGAAGTCTTTGCGTAAAAGCAAACCTTGGCATAAGTAAAAAAGAAAGTAAAGCTTATTGGCATAAGTGAACCAATTGAATGTAGAAGATATTGTTCTGTTGAGGTTCTTTTATTTACATAATACAATTCCGATGTTTCAAATCCCCAAGCTTGAGTTTTTGAGTGTGGAAAGGAATGTGGTAGATAAGAAAAAGACCCCCCATATAGAAGATATATTAGTTCATCCCAATTAGTAGTGTACATTTGATCAGATAACCATGAGTTGTTAGACTTTCACGTGAAAGATAGAGAATGAAGGACAAGTAGAGAGTTAACAAACACTAAAATCTAACAATATCAGAAGGCAAGTGAGACTATATGGATGTGAATGTGGAGACATGTCACTCATATGGGGTGGCCCTCCTCCCATCACAGAAACCGAAAAATTTCATGAATAATTCAAAATAATTACAATTTCATGAAGTGTCTCGGGTCACAAGTCACAACTTTCAATTACACTAGACATAGACTCGCTCACACTTTCACAAAAATTACAATTATTTTAAGTTGTTCATATTGAAATGCAATTTCTCTGAACATTATGTCCCACAACCAGTGTTTGGTTGTAGATGGGGGACCTGCTTGCTTTAGGTTCGACCCCACACCCACAAACTGTGCTCTGTTAGAACTCAGTTTCTTTCTGGTGGAAGCATTCATTCTTTTATTTATTTATTTATTTTTTATTTTATCTTTTGGTGGTAGACTGGGGCATTAAACTGGTGGAAGCATTCATTCGGTGGTGAGGCTTCTTCCTCCTCAAGTTTTGGCTAATGGGGGGAAAAGAAAATTGCATTTTTCTGGGTGTTCATTAGTAATTTATGGCCATGGGTGGATTGGCATTCCTCGTCTGCTCAACCTAGTAGACAAGTAACCATTTACTAAGCATTTGGGAGCATTTGCATCTTAATTACTCTCCCTTCAAGAAAACTGGAGCGACATTACGAGACCAGATCTTCTGTACCCATATCCCAACCATCTCTCTACCGTAGGATCAGAGCTGCAAGATTCATCATGTGCTAAAGAGACATGTATATCAATGTTGGAAAGCAAATCCACGTCTTATTATTGATAATCTCATTACTAATCAATAGATACTTCAATGCCAAGTGATTACAGCAGTTACAAATCTTGGGGGTGAAATTGTTGAATATATATCATTTCCAGGAACAGAACAAATAGCTATCTATCACTTGGCAGGTACAGCCCTCATTGGCAAATTTCATTCTGAGGTCCCTATAAGACACTAGGAGAAGAAAGATAGTAGCAAATCTGTATTGCAAAACATGTAAATCACATAAAGTAAGCATGCAAACTTGCCTTAAAAAAAATTCTCCTCTTTATTGGAAAAACCTCTATTGTACAAAACAACAGAATGCACAATTTGCCAGATGGCAATTCTAACACCTAAAGGAATAAAAGTTACAAGCAGAATACAACACAAACTTGATTCAAAGATGGTTATACACTAAGCACTGTTGCGGGAACAAGTGACGATCTATGGTTCCTACTGATGGGGAGATGAACATAAACTTCATGTACCTCCTGTTTACATACCTCCCCTCTGTCCCTGTCTATGGCATAGCACACATACACCGTATCGATAACGTTGTCCAGCACATACACAAAATATCCAAGTACCACAAGCAGCAGCGCCCATGCCATGCCAGCCACAAAATAGGTGTCCGCTCCGAGATTGCTGACGACGGCATTCAATATTGCACAAACCTGCAGTCAGAACCAGAATTTTAAGACGATACAACTTCTAGTTTAAATCATAGAGAAAAAAGAAGCTGCTTTTGGTCAGGCTGTAAGGAATCTGGGAAATATCTAATAATGGATAAAACAAAACTAAAACAGATATCATTAGGTCACCAAACATGGACATCACCCACTTTTTATTTCCTTCAGCTTTTCTTTTGAAATTTCAGGAGTGCCCCTCCTAACTAAGGATTTTTCAAAAAAAGGGGTAAAACCGGTAAATCAATCCAATCAAATCCAAACCACTAGTTTGGTCCAGTTTTTATTAGCTTCGGTTTTGGTTCCAATTTCAAAATGATAGAACTGTTTGAATCAGTCCAGTTTGCAGTTTTAAGGCTTTGGTTACAATTATAAACCTAATCAAACCATGAAAAAGTTTCAATTATGTTTCACTTAGTAGTCCTAAACCTAACCAAGTAGGTTTCAAATATTTAACAGTCCTAACCAATCCAATCTGTGAACAGTTACGAGTCCTAACCAAGTACATTTAAAAATAGATCCACCAATGGTTTGCTGACCAACAAGGATGCTACACGGGCAACTCTAAAAATAGTAATCTTTGGAAGCATCCAAGGAAGAGGAGTACTACTTACCACAACTGCATAAATTGCCGAGAATACAAAAATAATTCCAGCAAGTAAACGAGTGGAGACGGTCTCTACAAAAACAGCTGAGAGAAGATTGCGTTTTAGAAGCTCGTATGTCATCCTTGCAGCAGTGCAGTAAGCTTCACCAGTTATAGCCACAAAGATGACGGTGAATTTGTTGAGGAATTCAAAAGCCGCCATTAGGGTATTAACACAGCACCGGAGTACAATGTACACTATCCCTGAAGCATCTTCTTGTCTTGCACTATCAACCATAGCGCGCACCACACGAACGACACAAATAAGCAATCCAGATAAACATACTGTTCCAGAGGAGGGTCCAAAGGCATTTCTGCAAGTTTGTACCCAAACCAAAAAAAAAAGTGAGAAAGACAATCATGTTGCACACAGACCACATAAAAGTGCAAGGATATGGCACCAAAAACTCCACACCATAAATCTGCTGCAAAAACAGCATAAATGTCGGCATTACAAACCTTATCTTGAAATAGATATATATGCTTAACAAATCTACGAGAACTACAGGGTTAAGAGGCCATGCAAAGTTAACCAAACCTGCTAAGTTTTACTTTAAGAAATGGTCTAATGATGTTTAGCTTCATGGGCATGAAAAACCTTGGGTGGTATCTCCTACCATTCCCAATAGGAAAGTGTTTCCACTCCCTGTTGAGAGATGAGTGTATCTTTCTTTGTTACCCAAAGAGGAAAAAAGAGTAAAAAAATAAAGACGAAGAACCTACACATTTCAACAACCATATGAACAACAATATGGGTTTTTTTTTTTTTTTTCAAAATGAGACAAAAAAATTACAAGATAATAGTGTTAGTGGTTTGTCAAAAACCAATCTGGGAGATGTATACTTTTGTAAAACAATCATACATATTAAAAGGACAATCTTATATATTATCATGTTTATTTTGTGTGATATTATTTGTCAATAAAAAAGTATAGTTGAGCAAAGTTTTCTTAACTTCCTAGTTACGTAATCATAAACCATATAGAAATTGAGAAAACGGTAAATTACATTTTTCACCCTCCAACTTTCATTCAAATTTCACTTTGGTCCTTCATCTTCTAATTGCAACAATTAAATCTAATCAAATGGATAAAAGCTCAACCAAAATGATGGTCCTTTAACTGTTTACATTTTCCAACAATATGTTTTCTAGCTCCTCTTGGCAATCAAGAAAGTTGCTCCATCAAGAATATTCTATGTTATTTTAGCATGATCCTTATTCCGTGAGTTGGCACAGCCAAGTCTCAACTTTGCTTTGTTCCATATCTCTTCACAATCAGTATAAAATAAGGAGCTCAGTATGAAATAAGAAAACTGCTGGGGTTCATTTCTTTCTGATTTCATGGATGACATGTTTGAAACTTTATTTGTTAATAAACAATGTCATAACATCCACCACATGAGGATTCCTCAAAACCATGAATCCTTTAATTAAGGAAGTTGGGCAATGAATGTGGCAACAACACCACTGTGAACGAATCCACCAAACTCCTAAAAACAGGTTCAGCTGAATACCCCCTATATGATCCCAAAAATGCAATTCCTAAACCACACGGACGTAAAGGTAAAGGAAAAGGCAAAAGTTTAATTTCTGAAATTATTATTTTTAAAATCAATTTCTAAATTACTACAACATCAATCATAAATCCCCAAGACAATCCAGTACTGACTTACAACTTAATTTGATGGTATACATGTAGAAATGTGTATCTCATTGACACAAACAATGGGTGCATATTTCCTCAATGAAAAAATTGACAAGTTCCATAGGTATTTAAAATCATTTCCTTAACAACCTTATCACCAGCATAACCCTAAGGCAACAACTATGAATAAATAAATAAATATGTCTGCCTAGTAGATATTTCTGAATCAATTGGCTCACCTGAGCTTAGAAATAAAGTTGTACAAGATTACACAACTATCAAATAAGACTAAATATCATTCAACTAAACAAAGATTGTCAACTATTCTAGATGGTGCATGCACACACAAATTGTAATGTTTTTCGTTTCCTTGTTACGGCATTCCACTCCATCTCTAGCTACAACACACTTTTTCTTTGCAGCAAGACAAACCCAAAGATTTTCCCTTCCTCGAGTCCTTTCAAAACCTTCAATTGAATCATAATACTCTTTGCAAATACAATCATGGTCTTTGTCACACATGGAACAAACCATACAGGCCAATTTTCTTAGATCTCTCTGTTGGTGAAACCTGAAATTTCTCATGAATGCCATTCTACTCATCTTATCTTAACACCCATCCATGTCGACATCCACCTTTAGCTAGGCTCAAGGACACATACTTAATTTTTATATGATTTCATATTTGATGTATGATTGGCATAGCCAAAAGATGTTTCTGCTAGCTGGATAGATATGCATGGCAAACAATGCTCCAAGTTCAACGCATTAAAATCCGTGTTTCTCTTCCAAATTTGTAAGCAAAGTCCCTTTCAACCTACCGCATACTCAATCCATCATGTTTCACTATTCCCTTGTTTTTTACTTCTGACTTCACTAATTTTTTTTTATGACTGGGTGACTTCACTAATTAAAATGCATTCCATATAGTTTCCGTTCCACCTAATTACCATATATATATATAATATATTTAAGGGCAAACTTCACTTTAGCGTAGTTTGGGCCATGTGCGGTTTGTCTCCCTGACATTTGGAAATGACCACATAACCCCCACATGGTTTATAGACTGAAGTAAACTGTTAAACATTCTGTCCAACATAACAGTAAATGTGAAACACGTAGCAGACATAAGGGGGTTATATGCTCATTTTCAAAGTTCAAGAGGGTAAATTGCACGTATAATAAAGCACGGGGGTTATAGTGCACTTTGCCTTCCAAACAAATGACGAAAATACATGAGTATTTTAGTCTTTTTCATTAAATTGTTAACAGACTTAACGGTACACTTCAGTCCACAAATCACAAGAGGGTTATGTGGTCACGTTAACGATGCACTTCAGTCCACAAATCACAAAAGCGTTATGTGGTCATTTTCAAACGTTAGGGGGTAAACTGTACATAGCCCAAAAGTGAAATTTGCCCTATATTTAATTGTTACTACTATTTCAATGCCTTCAACTTAACGAGTACAATTCATTTGAGAGAATGATAATTCCCATATGGAATCCACTTTTTAACTTCTTTGAATCATATATGTAACATTTGAACCCATTATTAAACAATAAAAAAAAAAAAAAAAAAAATAAAAAATACTAGGAGAGGAATCACCTATGATATAGTAAGCAACAAGGGTAGCTATCAATCAGCAGGAAACTACCTCAGGGAATTTCGTATACTCCGCCTTGGACGTGAATCATCCTTGGAAAAGTACCACTGTGCAATAGTCCCACTGATCACATAAATCTGCACTTCCACCATAGCTGTTGCAGACCACAACATTGTGAGAATTGCCAATGCAAAGTATGCAGGCACCCAACTATCTTGCTTCCAAGTACAATAATACTCTCCACTCTCATATTGAGCCACAATCTCCCCATTCTGATTTGCAAACACCAAAAACACAACAATGGGCACATAATAAACCACCAAACCCAAAGTCAGAGCTGGAAGAACCCCAAACAAACCCAAATTCTGAGACAAAGCATGAGAAGAAACCGCAATAATCTTAACAGTCAATTCAACTCGATGCCAATTCACCACAATAATCCACACAATCACAGCAATTACCAAAAACACAAACACGAGGACTAAAACCCGGTACCCAATCGGGAAATCATCGCTGCAAGTGGAGTCAACAGTACAGGCAACAAACCAATACACATCTAAGAAAATGGGTACGATGATAAAGAAAGGAAGCGAGACGTAGACAATCTGTTTGGTATAATGCTTCAGTAACAAAAGTACACACAGCACAAAGGGTACACTTAAAATCAAAGTGATAACAAGGGTCCAAATCAAACTCGGCAAAAGATTGGAGCTTGAAAAGTAATAGTAGATAGAAAGGGGATTATCAAGTGATGATTGTTCTACGCAAGAAGTGGAATTGGAGTCGTAGACAAAGGAGGAGACTTTGGAGGAATTGGAGTTGCGATTGATGGAAGAGAAGATGCCGAAGCCGAAGGTGCAGACGACTAGAAAGGAGAAGAGGATCAAAAAGGGGATGTCTTTGATGGGTCTGGGGCCATAGTTGTAGGAGATCTGGAGGTACTGAGATGGGTCGGGTTCGGAGGTGGTTGGGTCGGAGATGGGTTCGTCAATTGGAGATGGGTAAGGTTTGGAAAGGAGGGGATGGGTAGGTGAGGAAGATGGGTCGTAGAGGTCGGAGGGTTTACTCTGGTCTTCAGTGCTCCCCATTGATTTTGATTTTGAGAGAGAGAGAGAGAAAGAGAGAGAGAGAGAGAGCTAGAAGGAACTTTTAGAAGTGGAGTTGTTAAAGAGCGGCTTGAGTTGGTGTCATTGTTTTATAATTTATTGAATAAATCATCGACTTTGAGGATGATGATGTTGGAGAGTCGAACGTTGGACAAAATGAAGAGCAGTAAAAAGAAAATGAAGGTCGTTTTACAGCGCTTGTGTTTTCTTGCTGATAATCTTGAGAATTGCAATTCTCCAAATCCTAAAACGAGAAAGAAAAGAGCCAGGTTTGTCCACAATTTTGATAAAAGCTTCAAGGATCTCTTTTAGCTGCACTTCATTCACCCAACATTTTGCCATCGATAAGTTGCAGTGACTTTAGTATGATATGTATTAGCACTTTTGAAGGGCCTATTTGGGATTCATTAAAATGTAAAAATTTAGAAATTATTTAGTGGTTTTAGAATATGGTCTCTAGTGTGTTTCAAAAGTATTATAATTGATAAATTTCAAAAATATTAAAATTGGTGACAGAAGTGAAATATACAATTTAATGTTAGATGATAGAGAACAAGACACTTGATGATTGAGGGTAGTATTGCCACAAGATGTTCCAAGATCATTTAATAATTTTTTATTTTATAAAATTTTATAAAAAAATTTAGATGTTACATTACCTTTTTTTTTTTCAATGAAAACAAATAACAATAGGGTCATGCTCCGGAGTTCTAATTAGAGCTGCAAAAGGACAGCTCTAATGAGCTGTCAACCAATAAAAAAAAAAAAAAACAGTGAAGTAAAAGACAAAAAAGAGAGAAGAAAAAGACAAATTAATACTCTATTAGAGCTCTTCTTTTAGAGGTCTAAATCATTAAAAAAAAAAAAAAAAATCAAACCAAAGCACTGTATTAGACTAACGCCAAATCAAATAATATGATTAGTTGGGTCTTTTCAAGTTAGTTAAAAGTTAATTTTTAATTTTTAATTCATTTTGAATTATATCACCTCTCACATTTTTTACCTACAAAAAGACAAAAAAAAAACTAAAAAGTTAACTTTTAACTAACTTTCTAAATCACTCCTATATATATATAACAATCCCGCTAGATTGCTCAAAATAGTCAAGGCTCGACTGGCTTCTTTTTTTTTCTTTTTTCCTACCCCCTCTTTTTCTTTCCTCTTCTTGCTCGATTATTTCTGAATCCAAACTCAATCAAAATCATTTTTCTTTTTCATTTTCCTTCCCCCTTTCTTCTTCCCCTTCTTCCTTCCCCTTCTCTTTTTCTTTCCTCTTCTTCCTCTTGTTTCCTCTTCTTCCTCTTGTTTTAATGTCTGATTGGGTGCTCAGAAAATTGTTGGGGGGAAAGTTTTGAATTTTTTTCATTTATCTACCTACAATGTTTACCAAACAGAATGTGAAATCGATTAACTTTTAAATATTTGATATTGCGTTTTGTTTGGTGTAAATTCCCATATATATATCTCTCTCTCTCTCTGTTTTTTTTTTTTTTTTGATTTGTCTCATAAAACCACCAGGCCGGACATAAAACCATTCGGCCAGCCAAAAAAAAAAGCCGACCGACCAAACAACACACCCAATTGTCTAGAAAGAAAAAGAAAGAAGAGAAAGGAGGTGGATCGTCTTCCATCTCAAACTCAAAATCAAAACCAAAAACTCTCCAATTCATCAATGAATTCTCTCTCTTCTCTCTCTCCCATACCTCCCATACTTCAGAAAGGTAAAGCCTTGGGATTGAAGATACATCAAAAGCACTACTACTACTAGTCTCTTTCACTTGTTCTTCACCATCATCTTTCTTGGCCAATCTTTGTAACCCAGGAATAATCTCAACCAAACTTGAGTTCACATCTTCTGAGAACACAAAACCCAAATCCATAAACCCTTTTAGCTCCTCAAACTCAAGGCTTGACAAGCCTTTTGTCATACCCTTGTTTGTTCTTCTCTTCACGCTTCTGATTTTCTTGGGAAGCTTCCAGTGGTGCTCATCAATTGGTCACTTTAACAGAGGAAGGTTTAATCGTGATGAGAGGGATGAGAGAGAGCTGACATGAGACCGAGATGAGTGGGATAAGAGAAATCTGACATGAGATGAATCTAGGGATAGAGATGGATGAGTAAATGGTAAATGGGGGTGAGTGAGAGTATTTTTTGTGTTTGAATACTTTTTTGTTTCCAAGAGGAGAGGAGACGAAAGGAAACAAATAGAGAGAGAAAAATTTTAGGCCGCTTGGGCCTAAGCTCATTTGAGCTACGGAACATTTTTGTATATATAAATGGGTGATTTGAAAAATTGATTAAAAGTTGACTTTCTAACTTTTTTTTTTCTTTTTTTGTCTTTTTGTGTATAAAAAATATGAAAAATAATATGACTCAAAATAAGTTAAAAGCTAAAAGTAACTTTTAACTGGCTTTCCAAATCACTCCAAAATGTAACTGGCTTTCCAAATCACTCCAAAATGTAAATGATATTTAAATATCAGTACTCTAGTAGCATTTTTCTAGGCACACTTTTTTAACATAAATATGATTACTTAATCTCTTTCTTGGCTGACCACTTTCTTTGTTTTTAATATGTATATCTGTACACACAAACAAATAACAAATAAGCAGAGATAAAAGGGTCTGCTGTACACGACCCAACACGATCAGCAAATACTAGTTAGCTAAGAAATTGCCTTCTTTCAACACTGAGTCAGTCTCTGCATTTGATGTGATTAAGAACAAAAACCTGCAATCTTTAATGATGCTTTTGAAGGGGTTGGTGATGCTTTCATGCTTCATATTTAGAGCTGCAATTTGAAGGTTGTTTCTCCTCGGAATAGTGAGAACTGAGCATACTTATCCTTCCAGCTAACAAAGAAAAAAAAAATTGTTTTAGCAAAGTCATGATCTAAGCATATATTCTGCATACAAAACCGGCTACATTCCATGACAAGGGAAAAAAAAAATTGAAGTGACTGCCTTCAAGGGTGCAAAAAATGGAGGCAGATTGCTTGTGTTTGTTTTTCAAGAGATTTGACAGCTGAACCGTGAACTTTTCCTCATGAATTATAAAGAGATATAACGCATTTCCAATTCCAATTCATTGGCCGTGGTCTCACCAACAACAGTACGAAAATGTCAAAATCAGAAGAGAGATTTTTCTTCAAACAAAGCATCTATCTCTCAAGGTAAGAAGTGACGCAGCATTAACTGATCCAGAATTTGCACAGAAAAATTGTGTATTCGGTTTGTAACACACACATAATTATGGGCTATGGCTCCACAACAGAATCAAGTAGACCCATAGTCAAATAAATATAGAATTAGGCACAAATAATACAATTCTTACTAGTTCTGTACTAGACAAACTACGTTAAATGCAACACACGAACTCATCTCCCCAGTGTACTTGGATCACAGCAAAATATATGTGCCAGATATTCGATAGCAGTATCATTTTCTTCCACAGTATGTATTGAAAACAAGAACTTTAATGAACATATATTATGATGGCACAGATCAAATCTATTACCTACGACTAGATTGGCAGATGGGCCCTGCAAAACTTGCTTTTGTTGTCATTGTCACGAGGCACTTGTTGAGCTTCTACTTCCCTCTTCCCACTCGCTCTTAGATATCTCGCCAGAATCAGCAATAATTACCTTTTTCCTGGGTTTCCCGCTGTAGGTCCCAGCTCCCCCCTCTATTGCATAGACAGCGTCCATGCCTTCAATAACCTTGCCAAACACAACGTGCTCCCCATCTAACCTGAAAAGTTTCACACAGATTATACCATACATCTGCAAAATTGTATGGATTTTGCTCAGCAACCAACATTTATCATATTGAAAACACAAAATTTTGAACACCCTGTGTTTTTTAGTTCAACTCATAGTAAAGATTGATCTGTTAGTATCAGAACAACCCGGCTTCAGCAGGCAGTTAAAGTAATAACGAAAAGCAGAGTAAAGATTGAAAACTTGGAAAGTTGGAGTGTGCTAAACTTTTTTTGTTTAGATCCTAGTATCTTAATTCAACATAATGTCACTCCATGAAATAGCTTACCAGCTGGCTTTGACTGTGGTGATAAAAAATTGTGAGCCATTGGAATCAGGACCTGAATTCACCATTGAAACAACACCTGCAAAAAGGAGAGCCTCAGGGCAAAAAATGATAGCAAAAAAAACCTCAATACACCAAAGATCTACACCTCTAAACAAAATTATCATGTAAATTCCTGAATGTGGACTGCATTATAAGGAGAAGGCACAGTCATGAATGTGCATATAAAGACCTGGATGCGAGTGTTTTATCTTAAAACTCTCATCAGGAAAGGTGCCACCATATACAGATTCGCTTCCCTTCCCATCACCATAAATAATATCTCCACCTTGAATCATGAACCCAGGAATTATGCGATGAAATGGTGTTCCCTTGTAATGCAGAGGTTTTCCGCTGGTACTCTTGCCCAGCTCCCCTGCAATTGAAAAATGCAGGTTATTTGCAGCAGATTCATTACAAAACTGGGAAAAAGTTCAAAACCATAAGAATTGAAAAGATAGTACACCAAAATACCTGTACACAAAGCCCTGAAATTTTCTGTAAAAGGATAAACTCAAAAGATTAGACAATTGTGCACAGAAAAAAGATTACACAATTGAATACTGAAGACATACCAACAGTTTTCGGTACGGCTTCACCATATAATCCAATTACGATTCTCCCTGCAGAAAATTCAGGGGTAGGTCAAGATTTACTAAGATGAAGACAACTCTGTAAATGAATGTTGGATAATAACTGAAAAGCATCAATTCAAGAAACTCAAAAAAGTGGGCCGGCACCATAAGTAATGGATCACCCTCAGGGATGGCAACTGACCTGACTAATTGGGTAACCCACTCTGCCCCACTCCATATGGGACAATTTGGGAAAGGGTTTAATAAGATCAAAATGCATTTGAAGTGAAAAAGAAAACTTGACTCCACTTTAGGCCAGGACCAGGATAAGGGTGGCAGAAGAAGAATTAGCAAAAAATATCATCGAGAAAAACAGTCAATTACTGAAACAAAGAACAAAAAATTTCAACCAAAAAAATGATCCAAATTAAAAAATTGTTTAGAAGGGGCTTTATACGGAATATTTTCTCACTTTCATGATATGGAGTTGTGGCTCCAGTAATTGAGACAGAAGGAAAACCAAAAATTGATGCAGATCAACCAGAATTAAAAGGATTTGAGAACCCAAAGCCAAAAGCAAAGTTCACATCCAAACATTTGAGCTAACAAATTTAGCTACTTCGACTACAATTTATAGAAAGAGAAATGATTGCTACATACCTACACGTTGTTTATCAATATCGACATCTAAATACACCCTGTGGGTAATTACATAGGCCTCCTCCACCTCATCTACCTCCTGAGCATGAATTTGAAAGAAGTAGTTCAATATACTAGCAACTCGTAGGAATATAGAGAATGAACAGTAGTGAGGTGAATATTGTCATAAAAAGAATGACTCTACAATAATCTAAAAGTAGTACTCCTAAATCTCGAGCAGTTAGAAATAACTCTAGTGCGTCAACAGAAGATATTCAATTAGTAAGTTTGAAATGCAACCCTCTACCACCTTCTAAGAAGCATAAACACTTCTCCAAGCATGTCCAATAATCATTTTTATTTTTTTTAAGACCCAAACAAGCTTTAGATTGAATGCTAAACAGCACAGACCTGATTAGTGTTGTATAAATTGTGTGCTTAAAATAAAATAAATAGATTCATATTGAACAACCACTTTAAATTTCAGAACAAGAACATACTAGAATTTACAGAAATTCATAATAAAATAAAACTAGTAGAAGGAAACAAACCGAAGCCTGTGTGGTACCACAGTATCCTTAAAACAGATTAACCGCCTCATCGTGAGTGTTGGAGGAACGTCGACTTCTGTCTCCCACACAACGGTTTAGACCAGGCTAACGCAAAAGCACCTTCTGTTAGCTTTGGCGAACTTGATAATGGTTGCACTCTCTCTAACAAGAACCAAAGAAGGGACTAGCAAAAGATAGGGAAAAAAAATTTTGGTGAAAAAAAAAAAAACACCATCTCTAACTTTTTTATCTCAAAACAACATCCACATTTTCCATCAAAATCTCTCAAAAACTCTTCTTCTTAGTTGAAGGGGAAATGCCATTTTTATACTTGTAGGGAAGAGGTCTTAGCCATTAAGGCTACCATAAAACTTAGCATCAATGGCCATCAACTCTAGCCTTTAGGGCTAAAGTTATGAAGGTGCAGAACTCCCACGTACATAATGATCATCAACTCCATCATCAAAAGATGAGAGTTACAAAGGTTGAATAAATAAATATATATATAATGCTATTTAAATAATCCAACTACATGGGTCACAAAATGGATACGGATATTGGGTCACAACCCGGTCCACACCCAGTCTAAAATATATGCACAAGACAAGCCCAGTCCAACATAGCACAATCTAGCTCATGCCCAAGACTACACATACATAAACCTATGCCAGTCCAAACCAAGACTAAACCTAAGCCTAGGCCTAAGCCCAACTTCTATTGATGTCCACTTTATGAGACAATTCTCAATCACAACATAATGGTTTTGGCCCATCATTATTTATATTGTAATCTTCTCACTTGAGAGAATACAAAATCACTCAGACCCACCTCAACAGGCGGTTGGGCCTCACTTTAATTTCGAATTAAAGTTGCCAAAAAACCATTATTTTCCAACAATCCCCCACATAAATAAAATTGGACGAACAAAGAAAAACAGACAACGCTTAACAACAAAGACTCGGAGAGAGAGCACACAAAATAACCCTGCATCAGAAAAGATAGTTGTTGGCCTTGAACCTTTCGTAGTGAAAGCCTATCGGATTTACTGGCTGACTAGTGAACGTGATATCTTAAACTGTTCTACCGTTTGTGTAAATCGAGACAATAGTCCTCACACAAGAGTTGCTCTAACCATTATTCTTATTCTCACTGGTGTGTCCGAATTGGCCCTGGAACACTAGCCTGGTTCAGTGAGCGTTTTGAAATAATTCAGACTTGTCAATTCTTAAAAAAGCGACCCCACTTTGCACTCACATAGGTGACCTACATAAGGTATTTCGCTATACCACGGTTGACTATTCACAACACTTAAGTCATTAAAAGCATTAGCTTAATCTCCCACCCCACAGGGTATCACTGTATAAAGGAATGGGCAGGAGGATTTACCTCCACAGTAGCTCACCCGTTACACGCAATTAGGTTGTCCTTTTGAACCTAGATCTTGGGATCTCCAGTCAACTAGGTTGTGTTTTCCATTCCAGTAATATTACTAAAGGCCTTAAACCCATTCCTCTTGATGAGGTTTCTATTAACTCTCGAGTTAACCCTTTGGTTAACGGATCCACAATGTTGTCCTTAGACTTTACATAGTCTAAAGAGACAACTCTATTAGAGAGTAGTTGTTGTATGGAATTATATCTACGGTGGATATGTCTAGACTTTCCATTATATATAAGACTCTGTGCGCGTCCAATGCCAATTGGTTATCACAATGAATACAGATAGTAGGCACAGGTCTTAGCCAACGTGGAATATCCTCAATGAACTGGCAAAGCCATTCAGCTTCTTCAGTTGCTTTATCCAAAGTAATAAACTTAGATTCCATCGTTCATCTCGATATACATGTTTGCTTGGAAGATTCTAAGACACAGTTGCCCCTTTGAGGGTAAACATATAACCACTAGTAGATTTGGAATCCTTTATATCAGATATCCAATTAGCGTCACTATACCCTTCTAGTACCGCTGGGTATCTGGTATAATGCAACCCATAATCCCGGGTATAGCGTAGATAACCTAACACCCACATAATGCCCCTCCAATGAGTAGCATTCGGATTACTCGTGTATCTACTAAGCTGGTTTTCTTCCTTTCTCCTCTTCCATTTCTTTGCTGTCTGTAAAATGACGTGTCCGAGAGAGATGAGGTGAATCCGACACAGATCTCACACCCGCACCCGTGTCGTGTCGTGTCGACACGGGTACTTCGCCCCAAAGTGACGAGTCCATGTAACATAGCTCGTGTATCTACTAAGCTTGCTAACAGAGTAGGCTATATCCGGCTTTGTATAACTCATTAGATACATCAAACTTCCGATGACCTGAGAATATTCTAGCTAAGATACACTTGCACCATTATTCTTAGTCAAATGTATGACTCAAGTCTACCGGTGTCCTAAACACACTTGTATCTGATTTACCAAATTTCTCAAGTATTTTCTCAACATAGTGAGATTGAGAAAGTACAATACCCCTAGATGTTTTGGTTATCTTAATACCCAGAATGACATCTACAAGGCCCATATCTTTCATGTCAAACTTGGAGTTTAACAATCTCTTGGTAATTTTAATCATTTCATCATTACTACCAATAATGAGTATGTCATCTATGTATAGACACAAAATGACATAACCTCTGTCAGTGTCTTTAATATATACGCACTTGTCACACTCATTGATTCTATACGCACTTGTCACACTTATTGATTCTAAATCCATTTGACAACATAACGTCTGTCAAACTTCTCATGCCATTATTTAGGAGCTTGCTTCAAACCATATAATGACTTGACAAGCTTACAGACTTTCTTATTTTTCCCTAGAGCTGAAAACCCCTCAGGTTGCTCTATATAGATTTCTTAATCTAAATCTCCATTTAAGAAAGTTGTTCTTACATCCATTTGATGGATCTCCAAACCACGTAAAGCGACTATCGCAATCACCATGCGAATGGATGTAATCCTTGTCACAGGTGAATACGTGTCAACGTAATCCAAGCCTTCTCGCTACCTGTATCCTTTGATAATTAGCCTAACTTCATATCAATTGACCCATCCGCTTTCATCTTTCTTCTAAAGATTCACTTACTCCCTAAGGCCTTACTGCCTGGGGTTAGATCAACCAACTCCCAAGTATGGTTCTGTAAGATGGAGTCAATTTCACTCTTGATTGCTTCTTTCCATAAAGACTTTCAGATGGAGTCACAGCTTCATGGAAAGTTCGAGGTTCTCCCTCTAACATATAAGTCAAGAAGTTTGGACCAAAGGACTTTGCGGTCCTAGCCCTTTTATTCCTTCTTGGCTCATCTACTTCCTCATCTTGATCATCGACTTGATCATTGTCACCTTCAACCTCTTTCATGGAACTCGGAATCGCTTCTTGGATACGACAAGGAAATATATTTTCAAAGAAAGATGCATTTCTAGATTCCATGATAGTATTCTTGTGTATATCTGGAATAGCAGACTTAGACACAAGAAATCAATATACACTGCTATTTTGTGCATAACCGTTGAATACAAAGTCAACGGATTTTTAAGCTTATCCTAACCCTCTCGGTTTAGGTATTACCACCTTTTGCATGACACCCCTACGTTTGTAGAATTTATACAAAGGCTTTTGGCCTTTTCCAAAAATTCATACAGGGTCTTTAAACAATTCCTTGTGTCATAATGATTATGAGACTCTCATAATCATATCACAAAAAACTCATAAACTGTCATTAACCGAACTAGGTCTTCTCGAATTCAAGGTACCAAAACAAATTTGGTCCATCATGTCACTCTCTGAAGTCAATAACCTTACTATTTGGAATCACAAACCTAGTGATCAATAGTCTACTATTCGGAACTTCACAACATGCAAGTAGTCTTATCACTAAGAATCACTCCTTTCTTATCATGTGGTCAGTAGACTCTCCACTACTAAGAATTACAATGTTTTGACATGTAATCAGCAGTCACTCCACTATTAGGAATCACAACGTCTTGACATAGAATCAGTATGCCATTTTATTACTAGGAATCATCATGTCTTGACATATGATCAGTAGACTCTTTTACTACTAATGTCTTAACGTATGATCAGTAATCTATTTACTACTAGGAATAACAATCACATAACTGTGTAGCCTCCTAGGAATCACTAGTTTTTTATCTCTATGATCAGTGATCTTGTACTTATTAGGAACCACCAATTTAAGAATATATTTAGAATTTAAAATTTCAAAAATATATTCACACATCCTAACAGGTTGTCACATCTTTGTTTTCAAGCAAAATCACATAGCAATCATATATACTATAATTGATACAAGGATAACATATCAATCGCCTCTGATTAATTCAAAGATATCATCATGATTTCCTTTAATCACATTTGATCTCTCTAGATCTTCCTCTAAGAACCTTGCAAGGTTTAAGGTTGTTAGGTGGAACAACATTTCCTGTTGTCACCTCTTGAAACCATTTCTGAAAAATCAAAACAGAATTTCATTATTTTGTTTTTCCAGAAATTAAACTTAATACTTAAAAAATCCACAGTTGAAAATTTAATTCAAAATTAGTCTCACCACTTAACCTAGAATCGAACATGGTCAAGAATATTCTCAGAAAGACTGGTCACACCGATCCCACTTAAAACCCAATTAATCTTTTGACAAAACTTTCAAAAGCATGTTGACTCCTAGTCCGTGAAAAACAATTTTTAAAATTAAGTCCTCCAAGGGATAAACCAGGTTATAACAAACCAATTCCCAAGCAAATAAAATTTGCTACCAAAATTACACCACTCATAAAAGTTAACAGGTACTCCCGGAACTGAGCCCATTATTTTTGAATAAAAATCAGAAATATTTTAGCTAATGCTAAAATTTGGTTTCTTTTCTCAACACCAAAACACTTTGGAAATAATCAGATTATTACCAAAGACTTTCTCCAAACTTGGTTTTCCAACACTTTGGGAATAAAATGATTAAACCCAAACACTTCCTCAAACCTCAAAAATAAGAACTACTCTTTAGCCAAGACTAAACACTTCGGTTTCTATTACAGAAAACCAAACCAAGTTCTAAACTTACAAGCAATTTAAAAATTGCTAACCGAATTACAAACAATGAAAAAAAAAAATTGCTACAACAATGATTAAGTAAATAAAATGCTTCTAACAATACAAGCAAATAAAACTTGCTTTTACACAATTGGCAAAAAACAACTAAACCCAAGCAAAAAATTATAAAAAGAGTAACCAATCCATAAGGATTTTATATAGTCCAAAACCTTTTCCACGTTTAGAAATTACTGTTCATCACAAAGGTTAGTTGATTCATTTGGTTTTATATATTTCCCATTCCTTTTTGCATAAGTATTCCTGCAAAGAAAATTAGTAGAGAACCACAAGAAAATGCAAACAAAATAACCTACGGACAATAAATTATTTTTAAATTAATAGCAGAATTAACTAGTTAATTAAAATGCTAAATGAGTCACAAACATAAAAGTTATAACTCCACAAATAAATTAAAACATGAATAGGCAATAGTTACAAAATAAACGTTAAGAGTTACATAATAAACCTATAACTCTAAGAATTAAATTTACAAAAATAGTCATGAGTTATGAATGAAATTAATTCACAATAAATATTTAAAGATATAACTCCAAATAAATAAATTAAATTCAAAATTTAATTCACCCAAATAAATTACAAACCTTATAACTCTAAATATTAAATTAAAAGTAATTTACAAGAGTTACATGAAATTATTACACAATATTCATGTACATAAATTTAGACAAGTTACAAAAATACTACAATTGACAATTTAATAGGCAAGAATTATATGAAAATTTCTCAATGCAATGAACATGTAATACACATGTAAATGATTCTAGCAATTAACATGCAAGGAATTCTATTAAACTAAAAATTTAGAAATAGACTCATTCAAACAATTGTAGACTAATAAGCATGTAAAATTTAAATTAGCCACTTATGAGCGTGCAAATAATTTTTAGAATTCTAGAAAATAATTAGCATGCAACTTTAACCCAAAACCCCTAAGACACAATAACCATGGAATTATATGAATGTTTCTAGTAGTTAACATGTGAACAACTTATGTAGATAATTCTAGACATAATAAGCACGTAACAAAACCAACTAAAATCTAGACAATGTTGAACATGCAAATTGTATTATAAAATTAAAAATATGAGCATGTTTTTATACAAAGCTTCTATACTATAGGGGTGTTTGGCAAGCGCTATTTTAGCCTATTTTAAGCTAAAATTCACAAAAAAATAAAATAGATTAAAATAATTAATAAGACAAAATATCACATCAAACACATAATTATTTCACTTTTTCTCTCACAAACATCACATTCAACTATAAAAAAATCCAACTATTTTCCCAAACACAAAAATTTTAGCCTATTAAAATAGCTAAAAACTAAAATAGCCTACTAAAACAGTAGCTTCCCAAACACCCACTACATGTCATGCAAAGATTGGTACCCATATAATAAACTTATATTAGAACAAATTAATCTACTAGAAATTTAGTAATAAAACCATTTTAAACTTTGCAACTAATAATCCTTTTTCACAAAACAGTGAATTAGAAAGCAGTAAATTAAAATCCCATAGCATTATGTATATTAGATTAATTATAAAAATGTATTATATAAATGCAGTGAGTGGATTATTACAGGCAACACTTTATGTGTATGAGGAAAACCAAATCAATCATGATAAGGACCATAAAACAGTAGCATGCACAGTAGAGGAAATTAATTGTTACAAATTTCATATGAATCTAAGGCCAAGTTTGGCAACCCAAAAATAATCCATTTTTTTATCTTTTTATTTTTTTCCATCACATTACATCTCTACTTTTCTGCACATCTTTTCGTAAAAAGACAAAAAGTACACTTATTTAGGTCATCCCAATCAACCCCTAAATATCTAATTTCATGATAAACACATTAATCTGTTTTAAGTTTGTTGTATAAATTGTGTGCTCAAATAAAATAAATAGATTCATATTGAACAACCATTTTGAATTTCAGAACAAAAACATACTAGAATTTACAAAAATTCATAATAAAATAAAACTAGTAGAAGGAAGCAAACCGAAACTTATGTGGTATCACAGTATCCTTAAAATAGATTAGCTGCCTCACCGTGGGTGTTGGAGGAACGTCAACTTCTGTCTCTCACGATACGACGGTTTAGACCGGGCTAACGCAGAAGCACCTTCTGTTAGCTTTGGTGAACTTGATAATTGTTGCACTCTCTCTAATAAGAACCAAAGAAGGGACTAGCAAAAGATAGGAAAATTTTTCTTTGGTGAAAAAAAAAAAAAAACCATCTCCAACTTTTTTATCTCAAAACAACATCTTCATTTTTCATCAAAATCTCTCAAAAACTCTTCTTCTTAGTTGGAGGGGAAAACTCTTTTTATACTTGTAGGGAAGAAGTCTTAGCTATGAAGGCTACCATAAAATCTAGCATCAATGGCCATCAACTCTAACCTTTAAAGCTAAAGTTACAACGGTGCAAAACTCTCATGTACATAATGATCATCAACTCTATCATAAAAAAATAAAAGTTACAAAGATTGAATAAATAAATAAATAAATAAATAAATATATATATATAATGCTATTTAAATATAAAGTTACAACGGTGCAAAACTCTCATGTACATAATGATCATCAACTCTATCATAAAAAAATAAAAGTTACAAAGATTGAATAAATAAATAAATATATATATATATATATATAATGCTATTTAAATAATCCAACTAGATAGGTCACAAAATGGATAAGAGTATTTGGGTCACAACCCGATTCACACCCAATCTAAAACATATGCACAAGACCAGCCCAGTCCAGCATAACACAATCTAACCCATGCCCAAGACTAAGTCCAACACATGCACATACACAAGCCTAGGCCAATCCAAACCAAGACTAAACCTAAGTCCAAGTCCAAGCCTAAGCCTAAGCCTGGGCCCAAGACCAAGTTCTATTGATGTCCACTTTATGAGACAATTCTCATTCACAACTCAATGATTTCGGCCCATTATTATTTATATTATAATCTTCTCCCTTAAGAGAATACAAAACCACTCAGACCCACCTCAACAGACAGTTGGAACCCACTTTAATTTCAAATTAAAATTGCTGAAAAACAATTATTTTCCAGCAATTAGTCATAATTCCACAAAAGATAAAACGTTTGGCATCCTGCATATTTTATTTTATCCGATCCACTAACACCTTGCAATCAACTGAGGACAAGCTAATATAAATCCAAAGAAAATCCTAAACATTTTAAAACAAATCTTCCTTATTTGTCTTCTAGCTGCCAAAGAATTTGCTCTTTGACATCATCATCATCAACCCCAATTATGAAAATGTAACTCTTATCACAATTGGTCCATCTAAGATTTCCTTCACAATCAAAACAGAGATGACCTATTTGCTTAAAACTTAAGGAGTAGCTATGTTGATCTTGATCATTTGCAGAGGGAATTGCCATTTCTGTAACAAAGCTTTTATGCAATCCATTTCGACCCTAAACCCTTTTAACATAACATAGCAAAGTTAAAAATAGTGTATGTAATGCAGTGGAATTCGATGCGACCCAAAGAAACCCTAAAGTCGAAATCAGATCCGATTCCAAATATTTACAATTCTGAGTAGAAAAACAACAATTCACAACCGAAGGGCCTGAATTACAACATTGTAACAGTGTATATATATGTGGTGTGTGATTATAGAGAAATGGGTAAGAAAGCGTACGCGATTGGAGATCCAGAATGCGAGAATGATGAGAATTGAGGCGACGAGGAAGAGAAGGAGGCATCGCGGTTGAGCAAGAGCTGAGATCTCCCGACGCATCGTTCTTCACCTCTCGCTCTCTCTCTCTCTCTCTCTCTCTCTCTCTCGGTCTCTTCTTGAGGATTCAAAGCTGTGTACTTTCTTGTTCCATAATCGATTCTCTCTCTCTCTCTCTCTGTCGCTCTGTAGACAGGAAAGGAAAACACAGCTCTGTTGTGTCAGAGCATGTAATTGCTGTTTTTCTGGGTCTCGAGGCGCTGAAGCCTTAATTAATTCATCATAATAATCACATTTTATAAACTATTATAATCACATTTTATAAACTAAGAAAAATAGTAGTCAGGGGTTGGGCCTTTATGCGATGTTAGCTGGGCTTAAAGAATGCGTTGGATCTTTCTTTGTCTGCTGAGATGAGGTTTAGGAAGTTGGAAGTTGGAAGTTGGAATCACTTAAATCTGGAGGGGAACCAGTGCTAGGATGTCTTGTCACGGCCCATGGGCTGAAATATTATTTGGTGTTGTTTCAATTAATTACGGCTCAAACCTTGTTTGGGAAGAATTAAGATAGCGTTTGGTTTAATTTCAAAATTATGATTTGAGCGTGAAATTATATTTTAAGTTGTATGAAAGGGTTCAAGAACGTCGTTGAAAAATTCGAAGATCTTCGAAGATTCTTGAAGAAAAATTCAAATTCTCTAAAAAATAGTGAGAGGTTTAGATTCTTCAATAGTCTCAACTAAGAACACAAAAGTAAAGAGATGATGAAGATAAGAGATTGGGTGAAGAATAAGGCAAAGTAGCTAGAGACAGAATAATGGCAAGGCTCTCTCATGAATCTCCCACTTTTCACTATAAAGGTTGATAATAGAGAAGGGAAATTAGTTATTTCCCAAGAGTTATCCCTCTAAAATCCATCCCTTATAAAACTATGGGTGGGTGCTATTTATAGACATCTCATGATGTAGGATAGAGCCCATGTGCAAGGCACATGGAAAATATTCTCTCTAACCACCTTGTCCGAGGAGGTGACCTCTCCGAGGATGAAGAAAACCCTCAAAGAGGAGATCAACCTCTCGGTGAACTTTTCTTCTTAGCCACACCTAACCAATGATCCCCAATCATCCCAAAGAGTCGAGGTAGTCCTAGAGGACCCTATGTCGCTAAATATTGCTGAGTCTCATGGACTCCCTGAGGTCGTGCCACCTCGACCTGGGTATAGACTAGTTTAACCGAAGAGTGAATTTATTTCCACTCACCGTCCTCGGGATCGAGTCCTTTGTTCGAACTTCATTACGCCCATGGTTCTGGTGCGTAGATCCCGGAAAGCTCCGAGCCCGCAAGTATTCTAGGACTTATTAATGGAGCGATTTTTAGATTACGTTTGAATCTGTTCGAAGTCCAAGTGCCTCGGATCTCTAAGCTTGCTTAATACCCTTTCGAGTCCGAGCCAGAGTAAGTTTCTATGTTCGTGGATCTGAACCCTTTTAAGGTTTGGAGCAATTTTGCCCGTTTGATAGTCAATTAATCCGGGCCCACCAATCTTGGACTTACGATAAATTCAGGCCCACCAATCTTAAGCTATTGGGCCTAATTAATTTAGTGGACTCAAATTAGCTCTTCTTACATTTGCCCCTTGCATGTATGAGAAATTTTAAATTTCTCGGATATGCATAGTGTCATTTCTTTGGCCCTGCTCGCATCACGTCCCTAAAAAATATGTTGTCTTGACAGAGCCTATGAATAAAATTGATGACTCATTGTAATTTACGGATAAAATTGACAAGTAAATTTTTTTTTTATGCCACTGATATATTTTTACAACATCTGAGAAAATATATATATATATATTTTATTCCAACCAAAGAATAATAAAGCACCTATTTTTTATTCTTGGACAAATATGAAAAGATAAGGCTCATACACACATTTTTTTTTGTTTGGGAGCACACAACACACCATATACATATATGCATATTTAGAATATCTGAGGAATATTCAAAGAATAATGCCCCTCATTTCTTTCTATTTAAGGAAAGGGCCCAAAACCCTAAACCTCACAAACGTTTTGCTCAGCTGTTTTAGCTCTGTCTCTCTCTAAACCGAGGGACCGACCAACTTTCTTCTTCCCCAAGACTAAACTAGTTATATTCTTCGTCAATCGGAGCCCGCAATTGCTAAACCCGGAGGCCACCGTGACCAGCTTGCTTTGTGATTACTGAGGACCACCAACGCTTGCACACCGACAGTGGTTGTTCTATGTGCCGCTACCGATCTGCCACAGACGTTATAGCCCCGTCATCGACTTGTCCTAGCGTCGCAACCCAGCCATCAACCTGTCCCAGTTTCGACTAAGCTGCTGCTACGACATTTCTGTTACTTTCGGCTTCAACTGCCCACCGTCGGCCTCTCTTTGTCGTGACTTTTCCTCCTGCTTCGGTTGTCCGGCGCCACCTTGCACACTATTGGCGACCACAGCCTCAGCTACCATCGGTATCGTGACAACTGTTGGTTTTCTTCACTGTATTTAAATAGATTAAATTCTGTTGTGTACAAAACAACAACAAGAATATAAAGAAATAAAGAAAATGAGAGAATTTGTTTGATTACAAAAATCAAACTCGAAATAAAAAAAATAAATAAAAACAGATTTTATTTTGTTACAAAAACAAAATTAAAATTTGATTAAAATAAATAAAAACAACACTGAAAATAAATTAAATAACTTACATGATTTAATTTCTTCAAATTATTTTCTGATCAAGTCCAGTGTTTGACACTGTGTCCTTAAGACAGATTCGTCCTCTCCACGGTGCTTTCAGAATTTAGACGTCTATCTCCCAGGATGAAATGACTCTACACAAAACAATAGCAGCACTACAAATTGTTTGCCTTACGAACACACTAAGTGTTTACACTCTTTCTTTCAAAATAAAATGCAACAAAATGAAGATAGAATAAGCAGAGGTGAAATACGAATTTCTGAATGAATACATCAAATGAGGGTGGTCCTATTTATAGATGTAAAGGTGGCTCTTGGTTTTAAAATGAAACAAGGTATGATACCTGTTGGTTTTGAATTCAAACAAATTTGAATCTGTTATAAATTCAAACAGATAGCAAAAAACGGGAAGGGCCCTGTTTGGGTGTGCACTAATTCCAAATTAGTTTATTTCTGTTTGAAAACGGGAAGGGCCCTGTTTGATGTACAGAAAATCCAAATCAGTTTAATTTGAATTCTGAATTTTATTTTACCAAAAATAAATTAAATTCAAATATTTTTGGCCCAAAAGATTGAGTATGGGCCAAACAAGTCCAACCCAACCACACACGCAGCCGCCCCGCGCCTAAGCCAGGCCAGCCCAGCCCGCCGATCGGATGGGCGGGCGGCGGCGCGCGCGCGATGTGTGGTGGATTTTGGGTCCAATGGGTCTAGCCCATTTTGCCCATAAACCTCTCCCTCTAAAACTCTTGGGTACCCTTTTGGGAGCACACCCCAAGTACAAACCCATGCCTTATAAACCCTTTCAAAAAACTTCCACCAAATCAATGTGGGACACAGCATTGTTACAACCTTAAGGATTCTACCAAAACTCCATTTCCATTGGAGCACACTTTGGCTTCAATTCTCCATTCAACTCCGGTAAGGTTGTAAAAACCAAAGAGCAACTAAATATTACCACGTGGAATCACAACGCGGGCCATAGAACACGGTTAACCACTTTGACCCGAGTAAATCGACGCTCAGGGCCCACCTAAAATAAATAGACCAAACTTGAGAAAAAAAATTCTGGTTTTACCCAGAATTTTCTTACCATTTCCAAATAATCCCCCACATGAATGGAATTTGATAAAACGGAAATGCAACAATATTGCAACTTTTACGGAAGAGATAAGTCGAAAATATCTTGCATCAAGATAGGTAGTTTTCGGCCTTGAACCTTCCTAGTGATAACCTATCGGACTTAACTGGCTAACCAATGGACGCGATGCCTGAATTGTTCAGCCGTTTGTGTAAGCCAAGAAATAGATTTCACACAAAATATCTTCTAACACATCGTGATTCTCACTGTGTGTTCATTTTGGCCTTGAACGCGCCTGGTTTCATAAGTGTTTCTAGAGAATTTAGCCTTTTCATTCTCATAGAACCGGCCCCAATTCAACACTCATATAGGTGATCTTATTGTGAGTATCTCCTATACTCGTCTTGATTATATACCTTAATCAAGATATAAGTAATCATTTAAAAGCAAAACTTATCCTTATACCCCTGCATACAACTATTTGTTGCAGATGTATAACATCTCCACCATATAGGGAATTTTCCCTTTGTGATTTCTGGTGAGCCACCTGCCCTTTTCCATTTAAACTTAGTTCTTGGGATCTCCAGTCATATAAGTTGGGTGGCCTTATGCACACTCTTATGTAATAGCTTAATCCATCCCCTTCGATGAACTATACACTAGCTCTTTTGTCAAACCTTTGTTTACGGATCGCTAATTCTCTTTAGATTTTATATAATCTATTGAGATTATTCCGTTGACAACAAATTGCCTTACGTATTATGTCGACGACGAATATGTCGTGGACTTCCCATTATACATCATGATATTGTGCCTGCTATTGTAGATTAACTATCACAATGAATGCAAATAGCTGTGCATAGGTTTTGGCCCATTGGAATGTCTTCTTAAGAAGTGACGAAGCCATTCTGCTTATCTCCTGCTTTGTTCAAAGAAATGAACTCGGATTCCATTGTGGATCGTGCGATGCATGTTTGTTTTGTGAATTTCCAAGAAACAGCAGCGCCTCCTAGAGAAAGACATAATCCACTTGTGGATATTTGAATCTTGTAGTCCGATATCCAATTTGCATCACAATAACCTTTCAAGTACTGGGATATCGAGTAAAGTTCAAACCATGATCACGAGTGAATCTTAGATATCTAAGAACCCGAATGATCGCTTTCCAATGGTCTTCTCCGGGGTTACTAGTGTACTTACTCAATTTACTGATAGCATAAGCTATATCAAGTCGAGTACAATTCATTAGGATACATCAGGCTTCCAATGATTTGAGAGTATTTTAACTGAGACACTGCATCACCTTTATTTTTTCGATAAGTAAAGATTGACGTCTACAGGTGTTCTAGCTAAATTCATATCATCCTTGATAAATTTACCAAGAATTTCTCAATATAATGTGATTGAGATAATGCATATCCGTCAGATGTTTTAGTAATTTTCATTCCTAATATACATCTGCGACCCCCATATCTTTC